ACTCCAAGTTATGCCTCGTACTAGTAGTATTTCGGCCGTTGTTTTTGCACTGGGACCAAGCAACATCAACTGAGTGGTCATAGCTAATAGAAATAAAGTCCAACCATTCTGAAAAGCGTGAGCGATGAGAACTGGGATTCGAATTTGATAGAGGACGTGGTATCCAAAAGGCTGATCACCAATTGCTCGCTTATCGCTTATAAATGTCAACGGAGCAACCGCTGTAAGCAAGTAATTTTGACGCACCCTGTGCAACTGCGATGCTAGATGGAACACAGCTGACCCAGAGAAGTGATCAACAGCGACGAGTGCTCCATAGTTGCAACGCCCGTGAACCGTCGCACATTATGCTCGCACAGAACGACCTTTTCACGTATATCCAAAGGGATGTCATGTTTTGGCAAAACATTTCGACTCTGCCAGGACTAAATATTTGCATTTCAAATAGGATAGCACTGCAGTACGCTGTAGAGATCATATTACGCTCAGACGATACAGTCAACCGTTGCTGCGCACGATGATGAAAATAAAGCTACAAGCGGGTCAACAGTGAAGAAAAGTGGAAAAAAGAGGTTGAAAAGAGTGAGAATAGAATTATTTTTCAGGCTGTGGAAGAGTGTAATCGTGAGTTGCACATTGCCATAACCCACACGAAGACATTTGGAGGACTTTTCTCGGTATTTCATAGCTTTGAAGTCCTTTTATCATTTGATGACAAACTCCACAGTTATGCCACGTACTAGTAGTATTTGGCTATTGTTTTTGCACTGGGACCAAGCACGTTCAACTGAGTGGTCATGGCTAATAGAAATAAAGTCCAACCATTCTGAAAAGCGTGAGCGCTGAGAACTGGGATTCGGAATTCTGAGGACGTGGTATCCAAAAGGTTGATAACCAATTGCTCGCTTATCGCTCATAAATGTCAACGGAACAACCGCTGTAACTTTGAGCAAGTAATTTTGACGCACCCTTTGCAGCTGCGATGCTAAATGGAACACAGCCGACCCAGAGAAGTGACCAACGGCGACCAGTGCTCCATAGTTGCATCGCCCGTGAACCGTCGCACATTATGCTCGCGGAGAACGATCTTTTCACGATTTCCAAAGGATGTCATGTTTTGGCAAACGTCTCGGCCAGGACTGAATATTTGCATTCCAAGTAGGATAGCACAGCAGTACGCTGTAGAGGTCATATTACGCTCAGACGATACAGTCAACCGTTGCTGCGCACGAAGATGAAAATAAAGCTACAAGTGGGTCAACAGTGAAGAAAAGTGGAAAAAAGAGGTTGAAAAGAGCGAGAATAGAATTATTTTTTCAGGCTGTGGAAGAGTGTAATCGTGAGTTGCACATTGCCACAATAGCCACGAGGACATTTGGAGGATTTTCTCAAGAAGAGTGCGTTACAAAATCAAAGACCACAGAAACAGTCGGATTAGTGAGGGATGATGTAGATTTTTTGAAGCAGTCCGAAGCGATGGAAGAGCGAGGAACATGATAACCGGTGGTAC